CCCAGAAAAGCACGTCCAGGACTGCCTCGACCCTCGACCCTCCCTCCTCCTCCTCCTCCTCCGCCTCCTCCTCTCCTCCTCCTCCTCCTCCTCCTCCTCCTCCCTCCTCCTCCCCTCCTCCTCCTCCTTCCTCCGCCTCCCCCTCCTCCTCCTCCCCTCCTCCCTCCCCGATCCTCCTCCTCCTCCTCCTCCTCCTCCTCCTCCTCCTCCTCCTCCTCCTCCTCCTCCTCCTCCTCCTCCTCCTCGATCCTCGATGTCCACGGAGGGGTCGTGCCCCCCGCCGAGACTGTTACCTTTTGCACCCGCTCGCTCCGTCAGCGGCTGCCAGCGGTCGGCACCCAGGAACAAAAAGACGAACAACGGGCAACGGCAACGCCAGAACAAAAGCGAGGCCGGCACGCCAAGGCGGGAGTGCGCTGCGATCGCCACAGCATGCGCGCGAGCACCAGCACGTGGGGGGTGGTGCAGTCCTTGGTGGGCCCTGGAAACGACAGGGCCGTTTTTGTTACCAGTTCCGTTCTGCCGTTTTTTTGCCGGTTCCGTCGCCGTTTTTTGTTACCGGTTCCGTCGCCGTTTTTTTACCGGTTCCGGCTCCAGTTCCGATCCTGGAGCCGTTTTTTTGCCGTTTCCGGTCGCCGTTTTTTTGCCGTTTCCATTTTCAATGGACATTTTTTGGAAACGATGAAAAAACGGCCCTGCCGTTTCTGGGGCCCACAAAGCTCCCCACCCCTACACACGATCGCTGCGGCTTTCCCGGAATGCGGGGGAGGGGTAGCAACCCTTGCGCGCCAGAGGAACAAGAAAGCGACACCCTCCTCCTCCTCTTCCTCCCCTCCTCCTCCTCCTCCTCCTCCTCCTCCTCCTCCTCCTCCTCCTCCTCCACCTCCTCCTCCTCCTCCTCCTCCTCCTCCTTCCTCCTCCGCCTCCTCCCCTCCTCCTTCCTCCTCCCCTCCTCCTCCTCCTCCCTACCTCCTCCTCCTCCCTCCTCCTCCTCCTCCTCCCTCCTCCCCTCCTCCTCTCCTCCTCCTCCTCCTCCTCCTCCTCCTCCTCCTCCTCCTCCTCCTCCTCCTCCTCTCCTCCTCCTCCTCCTCCTCCTCCTCCTCCTCCTCCTCCTCCTCCTCCCCTCCCCCTCCCCCTCCCCCTCCCCCTCCCCCTCCTCCTCCTCTCCCTTCCTCCTTCCCCTCGCCCCTCCCCCTCCCGCCTCCCCCTCCCCCTCCTCCTCCTCACCTCCTCCTCCTCCTCCTCCTCCTCCTCCTCCTCCTCCTCCTCCTCCTCCTCCTCCTCCTCCTCCTCCTCCTCTCCTCCTCCTCCTCCTCCTCCTCCTCCTCCTCCTCCTCCTCCTCCTCCTGGGCCCCAGTTAGGAGGGCCAAAAACATTAGGGATAAGGGGGTTTGTTCTGCAAATGTATCCAGCCGAAACGCCCAACTCTGGTATCCGTGATGCGAAGACGGGGGGCATACGTGAGGCAACGCCCTCATCGTGTTGGTAGTATTAGGGGTCCTTCTGTTCTCGATGATCAGGGGGGTGAACCGCCCGGACTTGTTATCCCGAATGCGAAGACGGGGACCTGAGTGAGGCCCCTCACTCACTCATGGCGGTCGATCGTCGTCGCGCAGCCACCTGTCCTGCCCCTCCACCTCGGCTGCGGGCCCGTGCTCATCGCGTTATGACCGGTTAGGGGCTCTTGTGTTCTCGATGATCACGGGGGTCACCACGGGGGGGGTCGCCGCCTCCAGAAAATGGACCCCTCGGAGCCACCCAAGGGCTCCCAGGGACGCCCCCCCAGAAAAGCACGTCCAGGACTGCCTCGACCCTCGACCCTCCCTCCTCCTCCTCCTCCTCCTCCTCCTCCTCCTCCTCCTCCTCCTCCTCCTCCTCCTTCCTCTTCCTCCTCCTCCTCCTCCTCCTCCTCCTCCTCCTCCTCCTCCTCCTCCTCCTCCTCCTCCTCCTCCTCCTCTCCTCCTCCCCCTCCTCCTCCTCCCCTCCTCCTCCTCCTCCTCCTCCTCCTCCTTCCTCCTCCTCCTCCTCCTCCTCCTCCTCCTCCTCCTCCTCCTCCTCCTCCTCCTCCTCCTCCTCCTCCTCCTCCTCCTCCTCCCTTGGCGCTGCCCGTGGGCACCTCTCCAGCGCCTCCCGGGCAGGGGGCCCGAAGGCCCGGCTGGGGCACCGGAGCGGCACCTCCGCCAGCAGCCTCGGCTCCCCGCGAGCGGACGAGGGCCAAGGTTAGGAGGCAACTACTGGGAAGTTTTCGTCGGAAAGATTGATGAAGGGGCCCTGGGACACACAAATAAATACACACAAATAAAAAGATTCTTCATATTTTCCTATATTTTCTGGGTTTTTGTCTTCCCCACCACTTCCCATCTTTTCCCATATTTTCTGGGGAGTCGACGATTAATCGTGTCTGTGTGTTTCTTCCCCTCCTGAATTAAGGAGAATCAAGCCCCATTTGGGAGCTATTACGCCGGACTGGGCCTCGGATTCAGCGGGATTCAGCCGGATTCAGCGGGACTGAGCGAGATTCAGCGGGATTCAGCGGGGTTAAAGCGGATGAAGCCGGACTTCGGACCAGTGCAAAGTCAGAATTTGACCTCCCAGGAGTTGCACCCGAACCAAGGGGAGGATCGAGGCTCGCTCCTGGATCGTCGAGCCTCGATGAAGGGCAGAACATCCACCCCCACAGGAAGCACCCCGGCACGCGAAGCCGTTCAGGAAACGCCCCCAAAGGAGGGATCGAAGAAGGCGGGGTTGTTTAGGAAACACCCGGGCCGCTCAGTGATCGCCAATCATCGTGTCGTGGTGGACTTTTCATCCCTTAGCTCGAGCCTCGATGCCTCGATCGTTCCTCGATCCACCGTGCTCGATCCTACGACCCTCGAACCTCGAGGATCGGAGGTCGAGGGAGGTTCAAGGATCGAGGGATCGAGGGGCTGGGGGGTCGGAGGATCGAGGCAGGGCTCGACCAAAACATTGGGTTCCGTTTCCGATGTGTTGTCGGTGCCCCTCTTTGTAGACTCGTTTCGCCTGTACTGCAAAACGAAGTCAAACCGAAAGCAGTCCACGAGATCGCCAAAACACCGTTTCGGTCAAGCCCTGGATCGAAGATCGGAGATCCAGGAAGATTCGAGACTCGAGGCTCGAGGGATCGGAGCTCGAGGATCGGAGGATCGAGGATTCGAGGATCGGCGATGGAAGAAGGCTCGAGGATCCAGGCTCGAAGCTCCGAGGGTGGGAGGATCGAGGCTCCGGCATCGGGGAAGGCTCGAGGCTCGAGGCTCGAGGAAGGCTCGAGGCTCGAGGATCCGAGGCTCGGGGCTCGGGGCTCGAGGCTCGGAGGCTCGAGCAGTCGGAGATCGAGGCAGGCTCGAGGCTCGAGGATCCGAGGCTCGAGGAGCTCGAGGGGCTCGAGGTGTCGACGGCGTGGCCGGCGGCCGACGCCCGCGCCGCGCGGCGGCCGCGGCGCGGTGGTGCGCGCACGGGCCAGGGCGGGCCGTACCGCCGCGGGATCATCGGAGGGCGCCTCCGCGGGGGGTCCGAGGGAGCCTCGGGGCATGTCGGGGCTGCGGGGGGGGTCCAGGCAGCTGCTGCGAGGCTCGAGGCGCTCGAGGCGCTCGAGGCCCGAGGCTTCGAGGATCCGAGGCTTCGAGGAAGGCTCGAGGTTTCGAGGCTCGAGGCTCGAGGATCCGAGGCTCGAGACTTCGAGGAAGGACGGAGGGACGGGGAATGGAGGCTCGAGGGATCGAGGGCTCGAGGGGTCGAGGGGTCCAGGATCGAGGGGGATCGAGGGCCCGAGGTCGGGGGCCCGAGGTCGGGGGGGGCGACCACCGTCCACCGGGGGATCGAAGGATCGAGGGGGATCGGAGGTCGCGGGAGGCATCGAGGGACGGGGACGTCGAGGCTCGAGGATCGGAGGCTCGAGGCATCGAGCGTCGGCGAATCGAGGCCTCGGGGGTCGGAGATGGAGAGAAACAAGAGGCCCAGGGGTCGGGGCTGCAGGGCCGAGGCTCGGAGAGGTGGAAGAGGCCTCTCGAGCCCCCAGGGCCTCGAGGGCACCGCGGCTCGAAGAGAAGGACCGAGGCTCGAGGCTCGAGGCAGGGCCGAGGCTCGAGGCTCGAGGCTCGAGGCTCGAGGCTCGAGGCCCCGGGCCCGAGGACTGCGCCGCCGCCGGCGCCCGCGCGCGCGGCAGCAGCCGAGCGGCGGCGCTCGCGCAGCAGCACGCGCGAGCCCTCGGGAGGCGCGGCCGGGGCAGCAGCGGGTCCCGCGCCCCGGCGGCCTCGCCGGGCGCCTGAGCGGTGGGCGCCCTCCCGCGGTGGGCGGGCCGCGGCCCGCGCGCGGCGGCGCCGACGGCGGCGGCGCCGGCGGCGACGGCGGCGACGGCGGCGGCGACGATGACGAGGAGACGATGACCCAGCCGACGGCGGCCCAGGCGACGGCGAGAATACCCCCAGCCGACGGCGACGACGGCGACGGCGGCGGCGGCCTCGGTCTCTGACGGTGTGGTTTTCGCGCTCGATCCAAGCGTGCTTGTCCGCGGTTTCGGCCCCGAGGCCGTTTTCTGGGCCCCAGGGCCACATCTTGAGAGGGATCCGTGGCCGAAAGCTGGCCCCAGGGAAGAGGTCGGGACCTCTGGGGCCGCGCACTGAAAAAATAAGACCGTCGCATGTCTGGGCACCAGGACGTCCGAGAAGGGGCTGACTTACTTCAGACCTGGTGGCCACAACAATCCTCGAGATTAACACTTATAACTATCACCCGTATCCCAGACAAGCCCAAGCAAAGACGATGACAAGATTAGGGCTGCGCCCTCAGAAACCGAGGAAAACCACAAAATCGGCCTCGAGATCATAGAGGCCTCCTAGATGGGGTCCGAGTAGATGGAGTCGTAGGGCCACGCCGCATCGTCGATACTTCGCCGATGCATCGGTGATGCATTGGTGATGCACCTGCGACGTCGGCGACTCATCGGCGACGTCGGCGTGGAGAAAATCGGGCTCCACATCGAG